ATATATATAATAAAAAAGAAAAAGAAAAAACCAGTTAAAATTACAAATAAAATACAATTTCGTAATAAAATATTAGTTGCTGATCATACATGAGAACTAGTCTCCCACAAGATTTTTATTTATTTTGGTATACTAATACACAATTCCCATATAAACATCCTTCGATGAAGGTAAGGACAGTTCAATTTCAAACTTAGACATGGCCTCCATCAGCCTGTGGCTGATATGTTCGACGCCTAAGCTGAGAATCAGAATTGGGTTGCTGCAGAAAGATTCTCGTCGGATCATTTGGATCAACATACCTGCATAATGTTATCAATCATAAATATAACAGCTTTTGGATTATAAATCATACAGAGTCTACAAACTTGGCTAAAAAATACCTGCGTAATGTTTTCCATCATGAATACTAGTTTTGAATTATAAATCATATGGATACTTACACAGCATGTTTGGATACAAATTAGAAGTGTTTCTGAGAACTCTACTAGAAAATACTTTTTATTTCCAGAAAAGAAGCTCTCAAAAATACTTTTAAGTTTGTATTCAAACAGACTCGTAATCTACGCTTTACAAACTTGACTAAAAAATTCAAAGGGCAAATATTCACTTACGCATGTCTCATCATCTCATCAACAGGAGTCTGAGCTGCCTGCAAAGGATCAACATGAGATTGTGTCTGCATAGTAGCGTGTTGATTATATTGCCTCACTGAAGCAATCAAATTGAAGAAAAGGGGAATGAAGGTTCCGCAGCCACCCTCTTTGAATAAGATCTTAAATGAGTGCGTGGAGTAAAGAGCTCTGTGTTGGTCATTTGGGACTACCTGTTGCAATTAAAAGAGTTCAGGTTTTAGGACCAACCATTTTGATACAACAATAATACCAACAACAGAATATATAGGAACGAGTCAGGGTAGCAAAGAATACAAGATTTACTTACGGGTTCAACATGTCCAGAAAGATTGTTGCAGTGAAATATTGGCTGGTTAAATTTTTCGCCATGGATGTATAGCTGCATAATAAATTAAGAAGAAAGGATCAGCGCAGAGTAACATAAAATGACATATGTAGTGCAATTTTTATATTAATATAATTTTCTGAATCTAAAAACCGTGAACAACATTCAACAATACAATGATGAAATGTATATACTACTCTCACAGTCATTGAAAACACCCTATTCTCGTCTATGAATCATGTTTCCTAACATATACAATTTATCCTGATTGAGTGCAGCTTTTTCTCATCATATCCCCTTCAAGAGTAAAAACATGACTTTTCCGATGAAATCAAATGGAGACAAACAAATTTCATGAAAGTGACTTAACATCCAAGTTCAAGCGATAAACCGATAAAAAAAATAAGGGTGTTTGGAAGAACTGAATTAACACTTAATTATAAGCTAATTATAACATATTCCAGTAAGTTGCATAGACAAATTCATCATAAAAATCCTCATAAGGTAAGAACTTATTGAATTAACACTTAATTAAGTTGTTATAGCAAATACCTAATAACTTCATAATTATGTTGCCATTTCGAAGAAAGATACAATTATGTTCCCATGTCGCCAATAGTAAACTTACATTAACTTGAAGAAATTAACAATAACAACTATTAGCATACATATTTTCAAACTTAATAACTATCATATATCATGTCCCAACCAATGTGACAGACTAACATAAAAAAAAAAAAAAAAGGTTTCAGAGAGTTAGCAGTAGCACTCAGCAAAGATATAAAGTCAAGCAATGATTATGACTAATTGCCAAGAACCAACAGGCCTAAAACTCCACCTTCAGCATTCACACAAGTCATAACAGAAGATATAAGGAGAACACAACACACAACAACATATAAACCCAATGATTCGGTGCAGTGGTTCTGCTAGACACATATCGATATAGATTCATCCACAAAGCAAACACAGAAAAGGGTCCATTAAATTGTCTCAACATACAAGGAGGGCATTTAAATATGTATTGAAAAAAAAAAAAAATACAACCTTCAGATAAATCAGGAAACTTAAAATTTGAAATGTTAAACAGTGAGAGAAGGGGTAAGACATACCAAAGGCATATCAAAAGCTGCAAAGTTACCAACTGGGCTTTTAGCAACGAAGACCATCCGAATATTTGACAAATAGACAATTCCCTTTGTTTTGAGATGACCCCCGTGATGTCTGACCAAAATTAATCACAAAAATCATTATCATATCAAACATGGCACATAATTGACTCGAATAGTTTCATATTTCTTGAATTGAATATTTTTAAGTCACAAAAAAAAAAAAAAAAATTGAAGAGAATGAAACAATTAGAAAGAAAATAGCAATAAATTAATGTTGCAATGAGGAAGCATAGTACTGACCCAGAGGCAGGAATCTTATCGATATCGAATTCGACGCCGTCTCTGGCCAACACAAACATCTCGTTCACGAAAGCAACGGGCATCCCGTTAGGAAATAGTTGAGGATTCAACGCCATCTCTCTCTTTCTCACACACACACAAACACTCAGAGATCCAAATTCCAATCTTCAACGTTTCTCTCAATCGCAGGAACGAACGAACACACGCTTTCTAGAACAACCTGCACCCGGCTCTTTCCAGACTTTACCACCTCTACCGTCCTTTTTTAATGTTTGCGCTGTTCTTTATTTGCTAATATTTTTATATTTTAGCGTCTAATTATAAAATGAATATTTTTAAACATTCATATCTATAATCGTATTATATATATTAAAAGGGTGGAGGCACACAGATAAATATTAAAAGTTATATATAATTATTTAAAAAGAATAAAAGTTTTTTTTTTTTTTACATTTTAAAGGGTATAATAATATACTAAAAAGTAGAGATCAAAGAGATAGTTATCAAAATATATCCCCTTTATAATAAGTATATATATATATAAAGGATGGTTCAAACGACACCGGTGTAACTTTAACTAAGTGTTACATCACTTAATAACTTTATATTAATTATGAATTTTGTAAATCCAATCAGTAAATTGAAAGTTTATATCATTTTATATGTGTATATCAAATTTTGTTAAAATTGAACAACAACTTGAAAGTAATCAAAGTATTCATATTTTAGTATATTTTGAAATGAATATATTACGTCAATTTTGTTTTATAAAAATGAAGTATCAAATCATCTTGGATTAATATAAAATTTTGTATATATGATCTAAGAGTAAGGAACTTTCAATCTAACGGTTGAATTTACAAAATTCACAATTAATATAAAGTTATTAAACAGTGTAACACTTAATATATATATATTGTGTGGGAGAGAGGTGTGTTTACAATGAAAATGTTATTTTTTTTTTGGAATATTTATGATTTTTGATAAAGATTAATCACTATTTTTATAATTAATACTCTATCAATATCATAATTGTAAAAAAAAAATATCAATTTCATGATAGTGGTATAATAACTTTATTTACAATTTTTAATCTAAGATTTTTATTTTAATTTAAGGGTTGAGATTCTCATTCTCATATAGAGATGATGTTCTCATAAGTTACACTTAATATATATGTGTGTGAAGAAGTATCTACTTACTCCAACAGTAAATTTAATTAGGCTTATTCTACTAAATAATTCATGTCCTACATTAAATTTTAACAATTCATTCGTTAAATTAAAAGTTCTTAATGTATAGATCAAGTTTACAAATTTTAAATAAATTTTAAAACTATTTGATATTTTATTTTATTAATTCAAACTAATATATAAAATGTTGGTAGGTTAAAAGACTATCTTAGATCTTTTAGTTTTAATGTTTTAATGATAACAAATACAATTATTTTATATGAAAAAAGTTTTTAAGTCATAAGTCGAATGTACTAAGATGATTTGTCATCTTAACATAAGCGTTTAACCAATGAAAGATTTCATCTACAAGACATTTACTAAATATTCATATCATTTACGATATTTGATAACTAAAACGATCTTTATGTATATTATTCCTTAATAGATCGATAAAATATAACTTCCTTATACCTTACAATGAAAAAAGAGAAGAATAACATGTTTTTATCGTTAGAAAAAGTGAAGCAGAACTCTTGAATCATGAAAATCTTCAAAAAAAAGTTGTTTTGAACTGACACACATATGACTTCACTTGTTCGATACCTAAAAAATGATAAGTAATTTACTTGATCTGATAAAAAATGACCATTTGGTGAAAATATTTAATGCAGTAATGGACACTTCCAAAGAACATAGATAAAGACAGACGAAGTAAACCAATGAGAGATGTTCAAGAATTTGCAACGATCATCTTCACTAAAGCCCTATAAAAGGAAGTTTAAAATTTAGAAAAAAGATAGATAAATCATTATAAGATTTCTTAATGTAAAAAGCTTTGCACTAAATTAGTTGTATCACATCTTGATAGTAACATGAAACAACATATTTAGTTTACCAATCTTTAACTTTAAATTTGTATTATTGCTTTGAGCCTCGAGAGACTTATTTGCAAAAGAATAATTATTTGTTGAGTTTGAAGAGACTTGTTTGTAAAAGAATACTTGGTTGTTGAGCTTGAAGAGGCTTGTTGGTAAAATAATAGTCAGTTGTTAAAACCTGGAAATACTTTGTCTTAAAAGAATACTTGAATAATTGCTTGAAAAGGCAAGTAAAAAAACACTTTGGTTTGAGCCAAAAGTGACTTGGTAAAAATATATTGGTATCTTTGCATAAGATAATGAAACTTGATTTGGTTGGATTAAGAACTAGACGTAATCTCGGTAGTTAAAGCAAACTGTATAAAAATAATTTGTGTTTAGCTTCTAATGTCTTTGTCTGCACTTTTTTATAAAATTACTACTTCATTATTTCTAAAAGGTGAGTTTTTGATTGACATTATTCAATCTCCTTTTAATGTCTCTCTTTTCTCCACAGTTTAGCATTAAAACTCAACCTTTTATGAGGTCGAGTACCTAATAGTGCTAAAGAAAAAGATCTTGAGATAGGAAGTAGTGAAGGTTACTATACCTACTTGTAGGAACTTCTTTTACAAGGCCTCCAACCTTTAACAGAGAAAATTAACCATATTGGAAAGAAAAAATAGAAATGTTCATCAAATCCATCCAATATCAACTTTGGAGAATCATCATAGGAGCCGGTGTTGAGGTAAAGAAAGCTAAAAGTGAGTATACATAGGATGATTGTTGAGATTTTGAGGCAAGTGCACCAAGTTTTTGTAATATCGAAAATGAATAAGGGTTGACGAAATTTAGGGACTTGGAAGATATTGGTAATCTCTATTATCCTAGTTAAAAATGTGAATAAAAAAGATATACGCCAAATATAAACATATTGTTGTTCATTTCAATATTAAATTTTAAAAGAGAAAACAAGTAAATGTAGAATTAGGATATAATAATTTAGAAAGCTATTGGGATTAAACTTCACTGATTTCACCCTTATGTGCTCTTATAAGACATCTATATATGATTTCTATTCTCAAATATCATTGAGCTCATCAAATTCATTCCAAATCAATTCCTTGAATTTAGAAATTCTAAGGATTCAATTTAACAAATGATTCCTCTATTTATTAATTTATAAACCTTGCATTAAATGTAAGAACTTTTACAACTAACAATTCCAAATCTATTCCTAGTCTTTGAAGATATTATATGATTTGATTTAAAACTAGATTTAGAAAGTGTTTTCCAACTGAAATCCAAACCAAAAATCAAAGATGAGTGACCAAGTCACCTTAACATGAAGAACATAATCAAAATCACTAATATTGAATAATAGTGATGGGAGGCAATCTAGAATACATGGAGAAAATATAGAAGAGAAAAAAAAGACCCTTGTTCTTGAACTTTTTGCTTACTCTATACTTTTCGCACTAGTCTAGATGGAAACTTTAAAGGGAACTAGATTGTTGTAACTTCTCCTCAAGTTTCTTTCTAGATTTTTTCCTTCTCAGCACTCCTCATGTTTCTTCAAGGTCTCCAATGGAGGAAGAAACCTTTGAATTCACCTTCAATGATAAAGGACTCTCTTCAAATGGTGTCACTTCAAAGAAAAAGATAAACCACTTCAAATCTCATCATACTCTTAGGAAAAGGATAATAGAATTGGAAGTAAATCAAAAAGAGATTTAAGTTTTTACGAGAGAAAACTCTAGAAAGAAATCTCGGCCAATTTCATAAATGCTCAAAACCCTAAACACCTGTATATAGAGGTTAGGTAGTTTGGAGAGGAAGTTAGACATCCAAGAGATTAGAAGACACTTAGATCTAGTTCCACCAATCACAAACAAGCGCTAAGAGACATGTTTGAGACATGTAAGAGACATCTAAATCTAGAAAAGCCAATGAGCAAGTGCCAAGTGTCCTCTTGTCTCTAGGTGGTTGGAGAAGTAGTTCCAAGGTGAAGAATAACCAAAATGGGCAACTAAGGTGGCCTTTGGCTTGTCTTGGCCGAACCAAAAACCAAGGAATTGGTCTTCTTTGGTTAAATGAAGGTTAAACCAACTTAAATCAATTCCTTGGGCCAAGAGAAGAAAAACAAGCTCAATATCACTTTTGGCTATTTCTACACCTTTACTACTTTCACACCATCTAAAATGACTATTGCCACACCACTATAATGATTATTTCCACTCCAACTACTAAACTCAAAAAAACTAAAAATGGTGACCATGAATACATGGTCAAAAGGAATACATTTCAATAAGGAACATGTCTCTAAATTCCAAAACCATGACCTACAAACAAAAAGTAAAAAGAACCTATACATTTAACAACTACTTACAAAGGAATAGAAAACAAACTATACAATGTATATACAATAGAAGACTAGGCTACTAGGAAGAGAACACATACTCTATGTTCATGATAAGCACAAGTCTAAGAAGCACATCTTCTCTAGTAACTTCTTCTAGCCTCCTAGTCATAGACCTTGTAAAAGGTCCTATGATTTTCAAAAATGGTCCTCCATCATCTTTTTCCTTCTTGATAAGGATTTGGCCTTAGATCCAACCTTTCATCATCAGTGTCAACTATACCTACAAAAGGCAAAAGATCACAAACATTAAATGTAGTGCTAACACCATATTCAAAAGGTAAATTTAGCCTATATGAATTATCATTAATTCTTTGGAGGACTTGGAATGAACCATATCCTCTATTAGTTTGGACTTCCTTTGAGAAGAAAACCTTTCCTTTCTCAAATAAAGCAAAACACAATCTTTTTTCTCAAAGATAAGTTTTTTTTGTCCTTTTGTTGTTGTAATCAACATATCTTTGAGTTTGTTTTTGAATTTGTGCTTTAACCTTCTCATGATATTTTTTAAACAAAATTAGTCATAAATACTCAGTCTTTATGTAATAAAGAAATAGTACTAGGGAATGGAAGTATATCAAGAAGAGTAAAAGGGATAAAGCTATAAAAAAAAACTCAAAAGGAGAAAGATTAGTAGTCTTGTGAACTACCCTGTTATAAGCGAACTCTATGTGAGGAAGATGTTCATCCCATGACTTCTTGTTGTTCTTAATGATTACCCTTAATAGTGTGGAAAGAGATTTTTTACTACTTCTGTTTGTCCATCAGTTTGTGAGTGATAAGTAGTAAAGAAAAGAAGTTTAGTTCTAAGTCTTTCATAAACAAATCTCTAGAAATGACTTAGGAACTTAACATTCCTATCTAACATTATTGTTTTGGGTATGCCATGCAATTTAACAACTTTTTTAAAGTAGAGTATTAAGATATAATTAACAATATCTATTTTGTGGCATGGTATAAAATCAACCATATTGCTAAAACATTCCACTACCATAAAGATAGAATCATATCCCTTCTGAGTTCTTGGGAGACCAAACACAAAATCCATACTAATATAAACCCAAGGAGTGCTAGCTATAGGAAGAAGTGTGCAAAGTCCATAAGATATTACTTTAAACTTTACTTGTAAATAAGCTATACATTTATAACAAAACCTTTGGACATGTATTCTCATGTGACTAATAAAATATATCTTTTAGAAAAGTTAGAGTCTTATCAAATTCAAAGTGGCCCATGAGACCTCCCTCATGACTTTCTTTTACAAGAAGTTTTCTAATGGATCCTTTGGGATATGCAAAGTTCTCCCATTTTAAAAAGGTACCCCTCAACAACATAAAACCCATCAAAAAACTTCTTAAGGCTTTGAACATAAGTGGATTGGAAATCTTGATCATGCTCATAAAATTCCTTAATGTTATCAAACCCAAGAATTTGAGACCCAAGGGTAGAAAGTAATGCATGTCATCTAAAAAGAGCATCAGCTACAAGATTTATTTTTCCCTTCTTATATTTGGTAACATAGGGATTCATGATATGTATGAATGATAAACTCTTTAGTCACTAAGTAATGTTCCCATGTAGGTCTTTAAGTTTTTTTAAAGGATTTTTCTTGTTTCTCACCCCAAATAAAAGGCATATCCTTCTTAATCAACTCATTAAGAGGAGATGCAAGAATGAAGAAATCTTTTACAAACCTCCTATAGAAGCTTGCTAACCCATGTAAGCTTCTAATATCTCTTACACTCTTTGAGGCAGGCCATCCTTGGATAACCTTAATTTTCTCAAGATCAATCTTGACTCCCTCTTTTCCAACTATTAATCCCAAAAGGTTAACATTTTCATGACAAAAAAATACATTTATCTAAGTTGGAATAGAAATGATTGTCTCTTAGAATAATTAAGACTTTCCTAAGATGACCTAGATGCTCATTTATGTTTTTACTATAAATAAGAATGTCATCAAAATAAACAACTATAAACAACTACAAAAAATTGTCTATGCAATCCCTAACCACATGGTTCATTGACCTCATGAATGTACTAGGGGCATTGGTCAAGTCAAAAGGCATGACTATCCATTCATATAGACCAAACTTGGTCTTGAAAATGGTTTTCCATTCATCATTTTCTCTAATTCTTATTTGATGATAATCGCTTTTAAGATCAATTGTGGAAAAGATAATTGCCCCATGTAATTCATTTAGCATATCATTTAACTTAGGGATTGAGTGTTTATACTTAATGGTGATGTTATTTATAGCTTTACAATTTGTGCATATCCTCCATTTCCCATCTTTCTTAGGCACTAATAGGATAGGCACAACACAAGGGTTAAGACTTTTTTGAATCCAACCCTTCTTCTACAAGTCTTCAACTTTCTTTAAGTTATACGTGTGTATAAACTTCATTCTTTGTTGTACAAATCTTATTGCACTATATTGGTTATATAATGTTCGAGTGAGACGAAATAGCATTTTTGCAACCTTTATAACCATTATTGTAAGGTTGAGCTTGGAGAGACTTGTCTATAAAAAAATACTCGGTTGTTAAGTCTAGAGAGGCTTATTGTAAAAATAATACTTGAGTAGTTGCTTGAAAAGATAAGTCAAAAAATACTTAGGATTGAGTGAGAAGTGACTTATCGAAAGAATACTTGTCTCTTTGTTTAAAGATAGTGAAACTCAATCTGGTTAGATTGAGAATTGAACATAGTCTCAATATTTAAGACAACACAGTTTAAAAATATTTAATGTTTCATCTGATTTCTCTTTTCACTCTATTTGACTAGCGTTATTACTTCACTATGAAAAAATGTGAGTTTTTAATACTTTCTATTAAATTCTCCTTCTAGCGTCTATCTTTTTTTCACTATATTTTTGAAATATAACTTTTTTTTTTAAATCAATCTACAAAATAAAGTTGAAAGATTTGCTATATATCTATTATATAATTTTTTTTTGGATTAATAGGAAAATAAAACGGCTACACCAACTACACGTTTTCCTTTATAATGATAATTTTGAAATAAAAATTTAAATATTGAATAAAATAGCAGCTACACCATATATATACATTAAATGGTTTATTTTCTCCTTGCAACAAAAGAACGATACAAATTCTGACAATTGGGAAGCAATACACAACCTGTTCAGGAATTAGACTTGTGCTGAAGAATTACATTCACTTGGTTGGGTGCGTTTTTTTCTTTGCAAAGAACATTACAACCTTTGAAGGAAACAATGACTTCTTCTTTTTCTTTTTGGTCTTAGCTGAGGCTGATCCAGTTTCAGGGTTATTTGAAGGATGTTTTTCCTTTGGGCTTAATGGCTCATGCTCAGGCTCGGGCTCAGGAACAGGCTCAGGCTCAGGCTCAGGAGTAATCTCATGACTGAATTCAGAAGCCTTCTTTTGCTCCTCTTGTTCATCCATCCATGTTCTTAGTTCCTGTTCCACAGCTATCTTTCCATCAGAGGCCTTTTCAGCATTCCCAGTTACAATCTTGAGAGATTCCTTTCTCACAGTCAACTCTTCATCCAGTTCTTCTAACTTCTCCAGGCTTCTTAATTCAGACTCCCTTGCTATCTGAACTTGAGAATTAGCAGCTTCCATCCTTACATTGGCTTGCTCCTCTGCCTTATAGGCTCTCCTGCTGAGCTCATGATACTCATCAAGTGTGAGTGTCACAAGGGAAGAAGAATCCTTCTCATTGTTGCCTTTAGCTGATTCACTCTTCTCCAATGCTGTGATTGCATCTCTTGCTAACATCTCAGCAACCTTTGCTGCTTCTATCTCTTTCTGTGCTGCCATTAAACTAGTCTCCAATGTTGTTGATCTGGCCTTGGCTTGTTCAACCTCTTGCTGGGCTTCAACAAGTTCCTCCTGTGCAGCCTGAGCAAGTGATTTGGCCTCATCAGCCTCTTGCGCTGCTTTCTGCAGTTTCTTTGGCAACTCACTCATCACCTCTCTTTGTTCACTCTCTTTCATCTGATAGAAAACTTCTGCAGATCTAGACTTCTCTAGTTCAACTTGGAGATTTGCAACTGCAGCAGAAGCTTTCTCCTCACTTTGCTTAAGGCTGCTGAGAACAGACTTCTCTTCTTCTAGTTTTGATTTTAGTGAGTTAGAAGCCTCCCTCAAGGTGCTAACATCAGAAGTTGCCTTCTCTATGTTCACCTTTAATTCCTCAAGTTCCGCTTTCAGATCCTCATAGCATTCCTCTTTTACTTTTGATTCCATGTATGCTGCTAATTCAGCTTTCAAGTCATGCAGCAAAGAGGAAGCTGATTCCAGCTTTGACTTAAGAACCCTGGCTGACAGAACCTGCTCATTTAACCTTTGGAGCTCCTCTTCTGCTTGCTCAAGTTCCAGCTTCAAATTGTGAGATTCTTCATCAACAACTCCTGATCTTTGTTCTTCTGCTTGCAAGTACGCAGCTCGTGTGGATTTCAGTGCCTCTTTTGTTGCAACCAACTCAGCAGTCAAGTCTTCCACTGCCTTCTCAATCTGCTTGGAGGCTGCAACAGTCTCTTCTGCATTGTTGATTGCTGTATCCCTTCCACTCACCATAGAAGCATACTCTTTGCGCAGTGCGTCCACTTCTTTTTTCATCAATTCCAACTCTGAAAGCGCTTCAGTATGCATGCTTTTCTCAACCTCAAGTTGTGTCTTGGCTTCAATGCTAGCTTCACCTACAATGTCCTGCTCCAGCTCTTCAATTTTCAGAATCACACGTTCGGCCTCTTCTTTTACCTCAACCTCATCTTTTTCTACACTTTGTAAGTTCATTTTCAGTTCTGCTATAAGCTTCTTAGTGTTTTCCAATTCCTCAGCTGTTTCTGCTTTTCCAAAGTCTTCTCCAGCAAACCTGCTTCTCTGTTAAGCCAGAGAAAATAAAAAAGTAAAACTGCGTACCCCAAAGCAATGGGAAACAAGTGAGGTAGAGAATAATTCTCTACACAAGTATTTGCAAATGATGCCTCATACAAACTCCATACCATATTTAATAAAGTGAATTATGAGCCTAATCAATTTTATACAAAAATGTAAAGCATGACTACAATTCAAATTTCAAACAATATATATACCTCCTCCACCAGACTTTGGGTTCGACGAGATCTCCAATCAACTCTTCCTCCGAACTTGGACACAGCATCTTTGACAGATTCAAAAGGCACAGCTGTGTCAATGATATGCTTAGAAGCCCTAGGAGAACCAGTAGGAGAATCATCTCTTCCCTAAGAGGAAACAAATGAAGTTTGATCAGTATTAGTCTTATCTTATAATTTTGTTCTATAATAATATTAATAATAAAATCTTGTGAGTGATTCTTGTCAGAAATATCAGAATCCCCTCCTATTTGGTGAGTTTATAGATTGAGTAATTAATTACCAAATGGGATTCTGGAAGTGGTTCCATTGAGGATTTTAAAAGTGACCCCTCTTCTCCCAGGTCTGCGTCCAAAATGTCTGAAATTCAATATAAAATAAGAACATTCCAAAGCACAATCTCATATATAGCTTTACATAAACTTTAATATAATACAAGAAGAACAAATTATTTTAACAAAACGTCACAAAATCCTTCTTCCTTTTTTAATATTTTTCATGCATACCATATAGATCATTGCTCAGCAACAAACACTTACACCTGGCTTTGCAAGAACGCCTTAGCTGCATGTAAATCTCTTGTATTACTTTTAATGTGCGTTACCGGTTACGCAATTGAAAACTCAGAAAATGCACAAGCATGTCGCTTTTAAAGCAGCAAAGTTATGAGTGACGTTAACAAATCATTTCATAAGAAGTACCAATGCATGCATAAAAACTATAATATATATTATTAAAAGAACAACATTTCTTGAATGACTAATAATTCACTTAAAAATCGTTTTTTCCTTATTATCTCTTTCATCTTTTTCTTAGATATTTGCAAACCATTTTTCTGTATCCGCATGCATGCAAACAACGAAGAGAGAAAAATGATATACATATGAATAAAAAGCATTCAAAACAATACATATTAATTAAGAAGCAGAAGATGTTGAACCTGGATCAGGATTTGAAGACTCGGGGAGAACAGAAAGAAGGGAAAGAAAATAAAAGGCAATTAACGTGTTATTATGGGTACAAAGAGGAGGAAGAATGGTGGTACTATGATACGGTGGAAGGGTAAGAAAAATGTTGAGGCGATGAAGGAGGAAGGAACTGAATACGGCTTCCTCCTTGTGTTTCCAATTCATGCAACGTCCCCATAAACTGCCTCATCGAGCACAAGAAATTTATATTCAAACACGTGTTGGATCACCATTTGTCCCAATTTTTGGCCACACAAAATTAAGATAGTAATAAACAATTCAGGATAAATATGGTATTGGTTATTGGACACCAACCTTTGTACGTTGTGCCCTCCTAAACCTCTTAAATAAGTGATTTTTCCCCTTAATTTCTTTTACCAAATTTCTTGTCTATAATAAAAGAACTGTTTTCATACTTGGGTAAGAAACAAAAATGAGTCACACACACATATATATATATATATATATATATGAATAACTACAATTAAGATTTTCTTTTTATGGTAAAGAAAATTTGAAGTTACTTGACGTCGAATTATAAAAATTCAACGTTAAAAACACATAAAATTACATATATTCACCTAGTTTTTTTAAGTTATCACATTATTTTATTTTAAAAAATGTTGTAATCTAATTAATCATATATAATTGTATCATTTATTTATCACTCT